TGGTGCATTCCAGCAGCTACAGCCCTGAAACGCACCGCATTTGATGTGAACAAGACCTTAGGCCAAAATGTATTCTGCTACATGTCTTTAGTTACGTCGGGTAAATACCAGGGAACTCCTGGTTCCCACACAATAGCGCTACATGCCTAACTGGTTTACCTTTATATTTAGATCATTTCTGGGAAAGCACTGTCACATGTATGCCAGCACTTTATATAACACTGTTTTTCAGACTAAGTTATTTATATTCTAAAAATGTCATACGGTGACATTGTAATAGCTGTCCAGTGTAAGTTTTCTTCTTTTAACCACTTGCTGACTGGAGACATTTGTTACATTTGCACACACACGATAAAATCTGAATTTGTGGCTTAAAAACAGCTTCAGACCCCCAAACAATTATATATTTTCTGAAAGCAGAGGCCCTGTAGAATAAAAAGATGCTAGTTGGATTTTTATTTTTGCTTCCACGGTATTTGCGCAAATGTTTATCAAACCAGTATTTTTAGGATAAAATACACTAACATGAAATTTAGTGCACAGAAACAAAATATAATTTTTTGGTAAAATATAAAATGCGGGGTCACGTCAGGTAAATAGATACCAAACATTTTAGATTGGGGGCCCTCCTTACCATCTTGTCTTGATTTGTATTGTGATTGTAATCTCTTCCCTATATTGTAAAGCATTGCGCAAACTGTTGGCGCTATATAAATCCTGTATAATAATAATAAAAATGTCAAGCCTTAAAATTGCATGCGTAACAGTTTTTGATGGCCCTAGAACTATTGCTTTCACTCCAACGTTCCTGGCGATATGTAACATGTGTAGAGCTGCAGCTAACGATTATTTTCATAATCGATTAGTTAGCCGATTATTAAGTTCGATTAATCGGATTAAAAAAAAAAAGTCTCCAGTGATGGACTACTAGTTTGTATTGAGATTGTAGTCCATCACGGGAGCAAGCTTGGAGCGGTGGAAGTAAAAAAAAAAAGTGTGGTGTGCAATATAGTACATTATAAAGCGGCACAGTGCAGAATACCAGCAGCTATAGAGGAATGCAGCAATAGTACATTATACTATAATGTATTATTGCTGGGATCTGATGTATTCCTCTATAGCTGGTGTTATTGGAGAGAACGGATATGATGCAGGAATAGGGAGGACGGGTATGATGGTGGAATGGGGTGCAGAGGACGGGTATGATGGTGGAATGGGGTGCAGAGGACGGGTATGATGGTGGAATGGGGTGCAGGGATGGAGAGGACGGGTATGATGGTGGAATGGGGTGCAGGGATGGAGAGGACGGGTATGATGGTGGAATGGAGTGCAGGGATGGAGAGGACGGGTATGATGGTGGAATGGAGTGCAGGGATGGAGAGGACAGGTATAATGATGGAATGGAGTGAAGGGATGGAGAGGATGGGTATGATGGTGGAATGGGGTGCAGAGGACGGGTATGATGGTGGGTTGGGGTGCAGAGGACGGGTATGATGGTGGGTTGGGGTGCAGAGGATGGGTATGATGGTGGGTTGGGGTGCAGAGGATGGGTATGATGGTGGGTTGGGGTGCACAGTGTTGGGTCCCAGGCTCCGGGGGGGGTCGGGGCACTTACTGTCTGAGCATTCCCTCCATAGATGCCGGCTCGTCCCCAGCCATAGTCTCCGTCCCCCGGCTGACACCCGTCACGCTCACATCCCCGGCACCCGTCATGTGATCGGCCCGGCTAGATGTGAGGAGCGTCGGGAGCTGGACCGCTGCGGCGTGCGCGTTCGGTGGGCGTGGCGTGCGCTGCGTGCGGGGCTTGAGTGTGGAGCCGCGAACAGGCTTCAGCGGTGGGCGTGGCTTATGCGTCCTGTGGGCACGGCGGGAGCAGCGTGCGGTGGGAGGTGTCCTGTGAGCACGGCGGGCGCAGCGGTACGTGAGCAGCGTGTGACGTGTGCTTCAGGCCGCGTGTAGAGCCCCGAACAGGGAAATCAATTGATAGCCGACGAATCGACGATCGAAAACGTTGGTAACGTTTTCAATCGTCGATTTTAATTGACTAAATCGATTAACTGTTGCAGCTCTAAACATGTGTGACACGATTTTCGTTTTTGCACGTAGGCGCATCTGACGTAGGGACTTTAAACAATATTTTTTGCATTTTGTTTTTATATGTTACTTTGCAATTTATTTATTTTTTTACACTCAACTTTATTGCTATCACATAGGGGGATAATAAGTCCCCTATGTAATAGCAAATAGGATGTGACAGGTCCTCTTATGTGACACGATTTTCGTTTTTGCACGTAGGCGCATCTGACGTAGGGACTTTAAACAATATTTTTTGCATTTTGTTTTTATATGTTACTTTGCAATTTATTTATTTTTTTACACTCAACTTTATTGCTATCACATAGGGGGATAATAAGTCCCCTATGTAATAGCAAATAGGATGTGACAGGTCCTCTTTATGGAGACATTAGAGGACTTTCAGACCCCTAATGTCACCTAGGGACCCAAAGAAGCTGACAAAGCAGAGAACTGCTTCACCAGCTTCTTCTCATGGCTCTAAGTGCCCATTCACACTGAGCAATAAATAACGCGATTTCCGCCCTTATATCGCGCATTTTTGCCGCACAATATCACGAGAAGTCGCCGTCCAATGGAGCTGTTCTAATGTACAGCTCCATGTCGCCCGTCGCTTGTGCATGACCCTTTTTCCCACGGATGTCGCACGATTTTGCTATTTTTTAATGCAGCCCAACTGTGAAGTTCGCCCGAACAGTCGCGCTATCCTGCCGCGCGGAAATCCGCTCGAGGTGAGTGTCGCTTAGTGTGAATGGAGCCTAAGAGCTGGAGAATGTGCCCAGTGTCCAGAGAAGAGATCAGCGGCTAGAAGCCTCCGATCCATCAGGGGAGACCTGCAGTGCCGGTCCCAAGCCTGCACGGGGGGACACCGGAGTTTGTGGAAGCCAGCGGCAGCGGAGGGGAACACACACACAGCGCCCCACTGTACAAGGGATTCGGTGCCTGTACAGACGCCGGTCGCTTGTATAGAAACAGCAATCGCCGGGTGTTTAAAACAGTACCAAGAACACGGCTGCAGCAGCAGTCGTGTTCTTGGTATAAACACTTCAAGCGGGTGACGTGTATTTATGTGAGCCCACGTGAAGTGGTTAAAGAAACATGATTTAAAACTATTTCAGGTGGGGCGTGGCCAGGCGCATGGAGCGGTAAGACGTGCTTTAGCTCGTCTCCCGCTCACAGGGCACTGAACACAGGCAGACAGCAGCCATCCGCTCTCCCCTTCGCCGACCATGAGTGACCGGAGGAAGAAGGGGAAGAAGCAGCATTTCAGGTATGCACAAGAAATGTTTCAATAGAATAACAATGTTATTCCCTCAAAAAGGTTTATTTTTCCCCTAGTGTGCCCCCTTGTGGTGTAAAAGGACAGTACTGTCATACATGATCAGATGTAGTAAACAAGTGCAGAAGGCGCAGTGTGAAATATCCAACAATGTCCTTCTTTCATTTAAAGTACCTAAACTCTGACATAATACATTTAAGGACCAAATGTAATGAGCTTTACAGCAAGCAATGAGCGTAGTCCCCTAACACTTTCACTGCCAGGCCCTGCGCTCCACTTTTGACCTCAGCTTACCAGACCATTTTTTGCAGCTCTGCAATATTTTCAATAAAAATACACTAAAAACCATTACCAGCCCTCAAAAAAAAAAAACTAAAACCATAATTTACAAGATCCCTACTAAATATAACAGATAAAACTGTAATGAGTTAATAAATACATTTTAGATTGGGCTTTTTTGCGAAATGGTAAAAAACCAAGGTATGCAAAATATTTAAAAATATAATAGAGACATAAAACAACGGGAGACCATGAAAGAACCACATACCAAAAATGCTATAATTAATTAGCTAAAATAATTTTTGCTATAAATAACATAAGAGGAAAAAACAACAGTAACTGCATGCCTCCGATCACAAACCCCAAACCCCTTACGTGTGCCCAGACCTACTAAATGGGTTTCGAACTAGTGGAACCCTTAATAGTCCAATTTATTTATTTTTTAGCAATTGTTTTTTATTATTTTAATTTCATTTTTTTACATTACTGTCAGGAAGACCTTTTTCCTTTTGAGAAAGAAAAGGAGGCTGAGGACACAGAGTCCTCAGTCCTCTTCTCTGCAGCCCGAGCACTTATAGCTAGGGCTGCACAACAACTAATTGTTTAAATCGCTTATAAATCGATAATAAGAATGGTTGCCAACGATTCTCATCATCGATTAGTTGCCATCCCTGTGCTCCTCCCCGCTGGTGCTGGCTGCAATGGTCTGGGTCCCTTTTAATCCCCGCTGCTCTCCCTGCCTGTATCGGCAGAGACTGGAACGCACGGTACTGCAATGCCCTGCGTTCCAGTGCAGTGCGATTTAAACAAACGTGCATAACGTTTTATTCTGTAGTAAACTTTATGTCTGTAACGCTGCATTTGTGTATTTTATTTTAAATAAAAGGACAGTATTAATAAGTTTTTTATTTAATCCGATTAATTGAAAATAACAATCGGCAAACTAGTGGATTATGAAAGCAATCGTTAGATGCAGCCCTACTTACAGCACTCAGAGTCTTCCTATCACTTCACAGTATGATTACTATATCCCCAGTTATAAATGTACAGGAAGTTGCCTGTACAGTGCTCCTCCTGTTCATTCATAAACTGAGGAGATAGTATGTTTACTATCTCCCCAGGTAAGAATGAACAGGAAGTAATTTGTACTGAACTCTGGGGTTCAGTGTTTCTAGGGAGAGTTCTGAATGTATGTAAATGCAAAAATGAGGCTCGTCTATAGCCCCGTGTCCAGTTTGCCTAGATTTGGTTTGGCATATACAGATAGAGATATATATTAGCACTGACCTTGTGGATTACATATTTGCGGAATTCATGCATTTATAATTCACAGTCCAGGACATAATGGTGTTAAAAATGGATGTCCTACCAAGAGATTGTCGCAGACCCCACTGTAAATCTTCCCCAAAGTATTGGCATCAAGGGGAGCAATAAGCATGACATCTGCCCACCGTCGCAACTCAATGTGAAGTACAGGATCAGAGCGCTGCGTCCACATCTGCATGCACAGAATATAAACAGCAAGTTGTATATAGGTTAAGTGCTACCACTAAAAAGAAATGCTGCAAATATGTCATTGCTATGCAGGAAATAAAAGCGTATCTAAAAACTTTAAAAAAAATGAATACACTGCAGGTTACCACACTTTAGGGGCTGCATTCATTTTCCTTTATTTTCAACTGGTGATCCTGCAAATACGGTAGCACATTTCTGTCCTGGGGTGGCTACACTTACTCACTGTGTCTAAGGAGGCTACCCTAGCCTGGACTTCAAACATGTCTTCTTCTACTATTAATCTCCTTTACACAATGGGTTGGGGGGGATTAGTAGTTTACGGGAGGAAAATAAGGTTGTTTGTACTTTCAGTTTATATCACAGAAAGTGACAAGAACACTGCATTTCTGACGGGATCACTGTACTTGCCGAAAATATTCCTAGCCTGGAAAATGAAAATTAATGTAACCACTGCAAATAAGAACAGGTAGCGTATAGCAGGTAACACATCAAATATTTGTTCTGGGATGTGGTTAACCTTTACATTGATGTTTGCGAAAAGAAAATTTTAGCATTCTTGTTTTAAAAATAGAAAAGTGTGATGACACTTCTAACAAAAACCTTGAACAGTGATATGTGTTAGGGCCCATTCACACCATTGCAGTGTGTTAGTGTATTAACATGCGCTGTGTTTTGGCAACCCTTTCATTTAAATGGGCTGCCTAACGCACCAAAAAAATGAGCATGTGCCATTTCTGACTGTGCTGCAATGCATGTCTATCAGCAAGGTGCACTGGGGTACCATTCAGTATTCATGCAGCCACATCGCATAAAGGCATGTAAGATGCAGTACCGTGTATTGCAGTAAAACAAAGTAGTCCCAAATAGTTTTTATGTATGTATGTATGCATGTATATATGTATGTAAGTAGTCACACTTTATGCAACTAGAACCATAAATCATAAATGCATTCCGGCCTAAAGCCGTGTAAGGGGCCCCAAAATTTCTGATGGCTGCCCTGTGCACAGGTATGATCTACAATTGTCACTTGCCTGCCCTGAGCAATAACATGCAGCAGCTGCTGGAGCAAGTGGATATCAGCAGCGCAGCGATGAAGGGGAAAAAAAAGAAGTATAAAAACTTAGTAAAAACATCATGGGGCAGGCGCAGTAGAGATCTTCGGCCGGGAGAAGAGGAAAAACACGATGTAAGTGAATGCACACAGCCGGCAGCGTGCACCTGCACAGACACTGTGGGACACAGAAGACACAGCAGTCAGTGTTGGATCAGAGACCCGCACCAGCGCTGGAGGGACTCCTCAAAAACTACTAGAAAGAAGAACATGATTGGATCAAGAGGCATCATTTAAGGTAAGTCCTTAAAGCAGCATTTAAACTAGATGAGAATGACTGTCTGTCCTAACAAAGGGTTAAAGACCTCAAGGCATTGTATGTTGAAAAAAATCTCTCTGTCAGTTCCTTTTTCTTCTCATGGCCATCTATTCTAACCACTAGAAGCTGCCTATAGTGTCCTATGTATAATCCTGCTCCACACAAACAGCTAGAAATGTAAGACGTATTTTTATTATTTTAGGTATGCTGTGTCAATGGGAACACGTAACAAGCATGTAGTGGGGTTATTTAAATTTGACCTCAAAAGTGAAAATACATGTTAATGTATATCATAGGAACAAAAATAAATCCCCACATCTCACCTTCCACTCATCATCGTCACTGTAAATGGGCACAGATATGTCCTTCACATTATAGAAGTGTTTTGCTTTCTCCGTAGTCACAACCTGCACTTGTACCTGCAGATCAGACATTCAGTTAGAAAGAATATAAAGACTTCTACAGAAAAAGTTTGACAACTGCCCTTAAAGGAGAACTATGACGTGAGTGCTTTTCACTCACCTCATAGTTATAGCCGACCTGTGACAATTAACCCCATTGTTCTCCTTTAAGACAAAATTCTATGTAGCGCTTAGTTCACATGCACAATAAACAATGTTACAATATAGGTGAAAGTGTTTGAAAGTAAAGGCAATGGAAACAATTTGAGGGGAGCTCCAGAGCTGCAATGTCCATACTCTCTTCCCTCACCAGCGCTTCTATCTTTGTCCCAGTCTTCTTCAGGGTTCTGAAGTCTTCAGTCGTTTGATTGTCTGTACCCAGAGAAAGTTAGTCCTGCGCATGCACACAGGAGTCGTTTTATCTTGGCAAGGAATTCTGCCGAGCCTGTGAGCCGGGCTGCATATGCGCGGTCCAGTGTGCAGATACCAAAAACAGAGTGGTGACAGGCAGATAGGAAGATCTATGACAGTGGAGACTAAAAGTGCCCATACACCAGACGATAATCGCGAGTGATCCCGCGATCGTACAATAATCGTAAGGTTGATGGGCATCGTGCGACCGCATTTACTGTACGGTCGTATGATTTTCGTATAACGAGTAGCGCGATTGCAAGACGAAAGCGGCAAGGCCCAAGGTGCGCAAGCGCACACTGCCCGCTCACCATTGCAATCATCTGCACGCATGGTTGTAAGGTGTATGGCCACATTTACAGTCTATTGTCATATTAAGCCTGCCTGTCCGCACTAGTCTTTCATTGTAACTTAACTTCCACTTCAACATGGCTTCTTTTCTGGGTTACACAACCCCCCGCACTGCAAGGGTTAACTGCTTGTTTTGGTCTAGGGGCTAAAATATAGAAAATAGCAAAGGACAGGGGTAGGCAAACTCTGGCACTCCTGCTGGTGAACCTACAAATCCCATCATGCTTTTGACTCTGGGAGTCATGTCTGTGGCTATCAGAGTCTTGCAATGCCTCATGGGACTTGTAGTTCTGCAGCAGCTGGATGGCTGGAGTTTACCCACCCCTGACACTGCTTGTGTACACTCACTCCAGGTATCTTTAGAAGACCAGATATTAGAAGAGGCAGCTTCAGCGCTGCCACACTGCCTGTCACTCCCACAAGCACATGGGCTTCACGGGGTGTGGGTGTAGCCATGCCCTCAGGAGATTCCTTGTCAGGATCAATGTCCTCAGGAAAGCCATCCTTGTTCAATTCCTGTACCAAAACAAAAACAGATATTCAAAGATCACGCAATATTTGATCAGCTGATGTTTTTAAAGCTAAACTCTACCTGTGTCTTCGTGTTGGATACTCCCACTCACTTCCTGTCCATGTGACAGGTGTCATGCAGAAGACATATCTCCTCTATGTGAACCTAGACAACATTTACATTCTTACAGTAAAAGCCTCTTCAGCAAGACACTGCATTTTAGACCTGACAGAAATCTGAACCTTTCCTGCTCTTTAAAAAAAAAAAGAGTTTTGGATGGAGTTGAGCACTACATTCTCATCATCCTCTGCAAACCAACTCAAACTTCAGACCAAAAGAGAGTGTCAATGTTACCTCAGCATTAGAGATGTGCAAACATGTGAAATGACATCTTATACAACAAGATGCCTACTGCATGTCTTCCCTTCAAACGTGAAATTAAAATGAGACATTTTCTTTATCACAGTTTCCTTAATACCTTGTTAATATAATTTATGGTCTGTTTGGTGGGCTTTTGCTCGCTTCAAATGGGGTTTTTTATTATCATACAAGTCTATTGGAATGCAAATCCTGCTTAAAGCATGTCAAATGCAGGTCAGAAGGAGGACAACTGCAAGTCAGAAGGAGGACAACTGCAAGTCAGAAGGAGGACAACTGCAAGTCAGAAGGAGGACAACTGCAAGTCAGAAGGAGGACAACTGCAAGTCAGAAGGAGGACAACTGCAAGTCAGAATTTTCTTTATCACAGTTTCCTTAATACCTTGTTAATATAATTTATGGTCTGTTTGGTGGGCTTTTGCTCGCTTCAAATGGGGTTTTTTATTATCATACAAGTCTATTGGAATGCAAATCCTGCTTAAAGCATGTCAAATGCAGGTCAGAAGGAGGACAACTGCAAGTCAGAAGGAGGACAACTGCAAGTCAGAAGGAGGACAACTGCAAGTCAGAAGGAGGACAACTGCAAGTCAGAAGGAGGACAACTGCAAGTCAGAAGGAGGACAACTGCAAGTCAGAAGGAGGACAACTGCAAGTCAGGTCAAATGCAGGTCAGAAGGAGAACAGCTGCAAGTCAGAAGGAGGTCAAATGCAGGTCAGGAGGTCAAATGCAGGTCAGAAGGAGGTCAACTGCAAGTCAGAAGGAGGTCAACTGCACCTGTCAATGAATTCAGAGTGATCTCAGAAGCATTTCCAGCTGAGGTCAACCTTGATGACACCAATACAAGCCCAAAGTCCATCAACACAGGCCCTAACTGATGTGTCTTCTTCTTGCACATCTTAATAAAGTTTTGGAGTGGTGACGACGGATTAAACCTGAATAATTAGTTTTGCCTTTTTCTAGTACATCTTTTTATTTAGGTCTAATGAATAAAAGCAATACAAACCACATGTCTCTGAGTCCACAAAGAGAGGCTGCATGGTCAACAACAGTTTACACAAAAGGTACAGTACAAGTACCGTATTTGCCGGCGTATAAGACGGGTTTTGAGACCTTAAAACATCCCCCGAAAATCGGGGGTCATCTCATACGCCGGGTACATACAGAAGGATATGGTATACTGTATGTAGCTTCGGCTACATACAGTATACCGCGCTGAGCCAATCACGGAAGGCTTTGTATTAATGAATACAAAGCCTGTATTCATTAATACAAAGCCTGCCGTGATTGATTCAGCGGAAGACGGAGGACACAGCGGGGATCATGGACAAGGTAAGAGACTGTAATCCCGAGTGTGGCTCGGGGTTACCGCTTATGGTACTGAAAATTAACCCCGAGCCACACTCGGGAATACCGCCATGGATGTTAGTGGGTGCATTTAACCCCTTCGTGACTGAGGACGTACAGTGCACGTCGCCAGCATCGGGGCTGTTTAAACAGACTCCCGGTGACTTTTGCCGCCGGGACTCTGTTTAAACTTGTAGAGCCGACTGTCGGCTTTACAACAGAAGCGAATTTTGGGCTATACTCGTCTTTTACGACGAGTATAGCCCAAAACCTATATTTTAACACAAAAAGTAGGGGGTCGTCTTATACGCCGAGTCGTCTTACACGCCAGCAAATACGGTATTGTACTTCTGTACAACTACACGCTACAAGGATGGTTCTTGAGCTATTGCAAGCAAGTAATCTGCACCCGGCCCAGTTTATTATCTCGGCTTAGTAATACACCCAAGGCAGAGTGAAAACAAAACAAAAGCAACGTTTCTCCTAATAACAGTAAGGCAGTATCTAAAACCAGAACAAACATGGCCCTGATATAGGCACAACTCTTTATCAAACCCAAAAATTTAGTGAAAAATGCACTTGCGTTAATGTTTGTGCCCCAAAACACAATAAAATATCCCTGTTTGTTGTAAAATATAAAAGACGAGGTTACAAGTAAATAGATACCCAACATGCACAGGTTAAAAAATGTGTGTGTCCGTGAAACGGCAACAAAGTTCAGTACCCCAAAAAGTCTATAGACAATGCTTTAAAATTAGGGATGGTATTTATATAATTTTTTAATCCGATTAATCGAAAAAATAAAATCGACCAACTAATCGATTATGATAATCATCATTAGTTGCAGCCTTACAAATGTAAACAGTCTGATTACAGGGGCCCACTGCCAATGATGTACTATGTACATCACTGGTCGCGATAGAGTTAAACTATACTGTACATCCTAATCCCTAAGCCGCCGCCGAACTTCAATAGGAACGTCTGCACTGTTTGATTTCAGGTAAGTAGTCTGGGTATAGGGAGATCACCAAGATGAAGGGCCTTTATGGTGCTCCAGGTATAGATGGTGTGGAAGGGACCCGGTGCACTTGTACCTCTGCCCACGCTGACATTATTCCATCAGAGCCTGTTCTCAGTGCCAATAGCCTTCTCACTCAGGGTTCTAGCCTGTCGCTGAAGAGCGCTCACCTCTGACCGCGTCTTCCACTTGTGAGATGCAGCCTTCAGCTGCAGTTAGTGAAGACTGTGAATTTATCAAGATCACGTCTGACATCTGCAGATAAAGTTTTCATTTTCAGGGCAGGTGCTTCTTTGCAGGTGGTTATATCTGCAAGGATGTCGGCGCCCAATGGTTGGTTGCCTGTGGCCACTGCAGCACCTGTCCGAGTGCCCATTGACATCTTACCCTCTAATGGGACCACTGGTTCTGGTGACTCTGCTGACCACCAGAGATTTCCTTTCACTTCCTATTGTACAGGAAGTGAAAAGAAATCTCCACAAATGACACAAATGGTAAAAAAAAAAAAAGCTGATGGGTTAGAACTCTCCCTTAAAAGGAGAACTATGAGATGAGTGATTTCCACTCGCCTCATAGTTCTAGCCGACCTGTGACAATGAGACTGTCACAGGTCAGCTCAGTAGATCGGGAGGTGAGCAAACACATACCGGGTTCGCTCACCTCTCGATCCTGTCACAGCTCTCTGTGACAGGATTTCCCCCTCCCCGCTCCGATCTGCCAGCGCTGACTGGCGGAACGGACGGGGGAGGGGGCGGATACAGCTGGCTCTGCCTCTAGATAGGCAGAGCCAGCTGTCACTCAAGCAGCTGGGCAGATCTCGACGTCCATGTCGGGATCCACTCCGGCTGCGGCATCTCAGTATACCGCGAGCTGTAGCGCGCGGTATACTGAGCTTAGGGTAACGGGAGGACGCTAGTTTGTGTCTTGCCGTTACCCTAAGGAGAACTATGGGGAAAAACACTGACCCCATAGTTCTCCTTTAAAAAATAGAAGAAAAAACAAAAAGGTTGTGGCTTGACTTTTACTTCAAGAAGACTCTATCCTTACTCAGATCTCACCCTTCATTGAACTTGCCCCTAGATGTTATTGTCTGCATCAGTTCCTGAGTAGAACTCGAGCCCTTGGGTGTGTGTTGCAATGCATCACAGGGTTTCCTTTTTTACCACAGTACATAAGCAGTGACAGCTCTGGCAGTGTGTGATACAAAGCACACTAGCCCCTCCGCTGAAACACAGCGACGGTCTGTACCTCCATCTGGGGCTGGGGGAATAGTCTGCAGGAGGCTGTGCATTGCACCAGGGACACACTGGCTTCAATGTACACAAACAATAAATGCATTTGTAATCAATGTGTGTGCCCATTCATTATTTTTCTTCCCCAAAATGGTGGATTATACCTTAAAAGAAGAACTCAGGGCATCCTCAGGTCTAAAACAAGTGAATGGACCTTGCATAGACGTGACGATGCCAAATTAGACAGCCAGACCCGGGGAAGAAGAGGCTGCAGGGACCAGTCTAACAACCTGGCTGGACCCAGGATCAGGTGAGTATATCTCCTTTATTTTAGACCCTAGACCAGGGGTAGCCAACCTTGGCTCTCCAGCTGTGCTGAAACTACAAATCCCATCGTGCTTCTGCCTCTGGGAGTCATGTACAGATGGTTATAGATCCTTTCCATGCAATGCCTTATGGGATTTGTAGTTTCAGCACAGCTGGAGAGCCAAGGTTGCCTACCCCTGCCCTAGACCAAAAGGTAGGCCCACTGCAAGGGTTAATATCTTATATGCCCAGAGATCTTCTTTAAAGATTAAACCCTCAGATTTTTTAACATAAAACAATACTGTAATGTGTGCCTTACTGTAATCCATGGTTGTTTCCCTTCTCTTTGCTGCTCTTCCTTTTAAATCTGTATCTGTTCTCATGCTTGGGCAGAACTTCTGTTTTGCAGCAGACTGCCTTGTCTCTGGAATGGATACACGGTGTCTGTGTGAAGGTTTGTAACCTGAGCCAGCACTACAGGAAGAGGCACTCAGCTGCAAAGGGAAGTTCTCCCCAAGCATGAGAAGACATGAGGATTTAAAAGGAAGAGCAGCAAAGAGAAGGGAAACAACCATGGATTACAGTAAGGCACACATTACAGTATTGGTTTATGTTAAAGAATCTGAGGGTTTAATGTCACTTTAAAGTATATGTAAAGCCAAAACGGTTTTCATTTTGGATGGTAAAGGGGATCGTTAAAAGTGCTTTTTTTTTTTTTTTT